ATTATATATATATATATATAATTTAATTTACTTTTGTTTTGGAGTTTATATGAGCTTTGTTCTAATCAGAATCAGAATATTATCATACAATCATTACGAAAATGGCATAATTAATTTATTTCCTCGTGTATTTTGCTGCTTTGATATGTTATTTACTCTTTAAAGATTAAACCTTTTTTTTAACACATAATATTCTTTTGATGAACCACCTTGGGCCTTATATGGTAAATCGAATGTGCTTTCTTCACAATATGAACACACAGTCACATTGTTCCCCACACTTCTCAAGTCACCATCTTGTGTTTATTACTGTATGAAGAAACCATCTTCATGTTTTGCTTTCATCTCTTTTCTGAAAGCAATGAATGAGGCTGTGATCCTTAACAGCCCATGCAGATGTTTCCTAACCACAAGACTACGACCTTTTGAAATGGTCTACCTGAGCATTTCAATAGGTTGATTCATGAGAAGGACTATCCGAATGCATTTCCGTTGCGGAATCATTGGGACTGAGAGGATTGGGTTTCCTGTTCTGGGCCTTAAAGATTAGACCGTTTTTTCAAAACACACAGTCACATTGTTCTTTTTTTCTTGCTGGTTTTTATTTGTTATTTTATTTTTCAAAAGTTAACTCCTTTTGAAACCAACATGTCTTCAATGTCTTTCTACAAAATCTTGTTTATTTAAGATCACTTGTTCCTTGCTCATTCAGGCTTTATATGCTAATACTGTGATACATGTACTTTGTCATTAGTTTCAGGTTTTCTGGAAGTATAATTTGGGCTTACTGACAATTTTTCCTATGTTTTACTCTGCTTAATAGGTTAACTATGGCAACTTTATGCATGGGCTGATGAAGGAGAACATCCAATTGAACAGGAAAGTTCTGTCTGAATTGTCTATGCATGAGCCATATAGCTTCAAGGCTCTAGTAGACATTTCTCGCAATGCCTTTCCAGGGAACAAGAATGTAGTGCTGCCAACTAGAAAGGTGGATGTATCACTTAATGTTTGATTGCTTGTTTTGGATGATTTAGTGAAAATTAATCCTTTAAAACTTGTCTGAAACTGAAACCTCTTAAGAAATATAGAGTTTTAGTTGTTTGATCATTGCTTCTCTAGTAAAATTTGGGACCCTGAGAGTGTTTACTTCTGGACTCAGTTCTTTTGCTGCGTGCTCAGAATGCATGCTCCAGCACTTTTTGTGAGATGCTTTTGCATTCTATGTTGGATCCATTTTTCATTTCAAACAAATTCAACTAACTGTGCAACCATTTTGATGCAAATACACGGTAATAAAATTAAAAGGCTTAGTTTTTGTTCCTTTGCCCGTGCTTGTTGCATCTAAATAACATATTTTTGCCTGTACGTTGGTAGTATGTTTCTCCCTACCCAGACTATGGGCCGGAGTTCAATGCCCTAGGCGTTAGACATAGCCCCTGCATATAGTTCCATGGCTGAATTAGGACAATCAAAAACTACATTACCTTATGAAGCAAGATACATGGATCAATAGAATTTACTCTGTAAATGTCACACAGACATCCTGATAAACACATCACATAACAAAATCTAAATTTTGAAAAAAACTAGAAAAGAGAACGAAACAAACAGCTGTTGCAGTATGCAAGTTGTAGAATGAATTCCACAAGTTGCTTTACATATGATCTTTTAGTCGACCAAGAGTAATTGATCCAAAAAGGACTGTAGAAGATATACTGATAAGCTATGAAGCTTGTGCTTTCTTCACAATGTGACTGTGAACACAGTCACATTGTTCCCCACTCATCATCTTGTGTTTATTATTGTATGAAGAAACCATCTTCATGTTTCGCTTTCATCTCCTTTCTGAAAGCAATGAATGAGGCCGTGATCCTTTACAGCCCATGCAGATGTTTCCTAACCACAAGACTACAAGCTTTTGAAATGGTCTACCTGAGCATTTCAATAGGTTGATTCATGAGAAGGACATTTCAATAGGTTGATTCATGAGAAGGACTATCTGCATGCATTTCCATTGAGGAATCATTGGAACTGAGAGGATTGGGTTCCCTGTTCTGGTGCTGAAGAAAGTTGGATTCATTGTTCCTAGCTCCAGTTCCTGAGGGTACACTGCCATTTGAATAGTAGCCTCCCTGTGAAATGTGATAATTCTGAAGACTCTGTCGAATGGGGCTTGATAAAGCATTTGAGAAAACTGTATTCTTGGACTGTTGATCACCATGCTCTGGACGAGTTACCTGCCCAGCAATTTGGCCAGATGGGCCTGAAGAGACCATAAAGCTAGGATTGGTGAACTGCATTGGAGGCTGGGAATGCTGTTGTTGCACTGGTGCTCTAGGCGACATAGATGGTTCCTCTCCACTGTACTCCAGTTCATTCTGCAGAGAGAAAACTAGCATTTCAGATTATAAGTAAAGCATAACTATCACAGCTGTTGACGATTGGTAACTGTTTGACTTTGACAAGCAGAAGGTATGTTTAAAGAATGATGAATACGGACACTTCCAGATTCTAAAAGGGAAACACATCTTTGGTATTGACAATAGATATACATTTATGCACCATGCCTGCCTCCGGCTGTTAAGAGATACTACAAAGTCAATGTTTCTCGGCAGCAGATATATACTCTCCAAGCACTAAACATATCCTGATAGCCACCTCTCTTGACTCTTCAAAGTTCAAACAGCATACTGCATCTCACAGAAACCATTGGAAGGTTTCCCATACATCAGTGGTCCATGAACATAAAAATTTTAGCATCAGAACAAGAAATGTAACAGGAAAGTGAACCCAACAAATTGATTTATGCAGGCCTTCCTGCAACAAATGTCTGCAAATCCCACACAACCTTGTGTATAGATAAAAACCATAGTGTATACTAACATGATTAAGCAAGGAAAACCAGTGCAAACCTGAAGGTAGCTGAGTATGTCCAATGTGGTTACTCTTGAACCTCCCTCTTGTTGTCTCCGAAGCCACTGATAAAGTTTTTCCTGGAAGCAAATTGAAAAGGGCAAACAACACTGTCAGAATTCATTCCAACAAGAACAACAAACACATTAATGTAAATGAGCAAATTGACTAATCAAGATGAGAAGCCTAACTCAGATAGCTTTTGTGGTTTCCCATAGAATATTCCCAACCAACAGTGAATTAGCTAAGAAACAATGGAGTGTCACAACACCCATGTCAGCCATTGCTAAATCAGTTTAACCATGCTTCTCAGATCATGCTTCCACGCATTAAATGTTTGTTTTCAGTGGTCAGATAAGTAAATGAAAGAACAAGATTTAAACGATGCTGAAAGAGGATACTGAGGGAAAAATCATTTCAGTAAAGTTTGTTTCCAGATCTATAGATAGTCGATTGGGACCCCAAAATCACAAAAAACTAGTGATCCAAGGGCAACAAACCAAGGTACAGATGTTGTTAAATCTAATCTCCACTCTGAATTATGCTCTTCTGGAATGAAGCATACACCAATCAATTGTTTCCATCTCTATTAATAGTTGATCAGGACCCAAAATCATAAAAACCAGTGACTCCAAGGGAAAAAACCAAGGTATAAACCTTGTTAAGTCTTATCTCCATACTGAATTATGCTCTGCTGGAAACAAGCATACCGCAATCAACTAGAAAACCAGCAGTCACCCATCAATTCTTGGTTCTTCAGCAACTTTTATTAGAAATCAAAGAATCTAATAACACAATGTTAACACAAACTGCCTTCAATCACACCACTCATTAGGTCACAGATGCAACCTTCACTCGACTGCACTCTACCTTAAGTGTTGACTTTTCCATCCAACTTTGCCTACTTATAGCAAAATAACACTTTAATTCTCTTGCTTGTAAACTATTTTGTTAACCCACTTGTAGCAAGTCCTTCTGATATATGTTTCCTGCTCCTTCTTGTAGGCCAGCCACTATAGTTCAAGTCATTTCTCCATAATCCAAGCTACCTTTGTACTATTTTTTCTTCCACCGACATTGTCTACATGCATTAAATCTAAAACCCAAGTTCTGGCATTTTCCATCTCTTTTCAGACCACAAAGATTACTAGAGAAGTGTTTTTGAATTTCTTCCTTTTCAAGATCCTTGCTATTAATCCTGAAAACTATCCAAAAATCAATGCTTTCATCTTCAGCTAAAGAGAGACCTACTCAATTACAACCTCTAAAATAAAAGAGGAATTATCCACCTACACAGAATTAATCTATCTCAACAAAAATGGAAGACAGAGCAGAACTCTTTACTTAGACATCCAAAAGGGAACCAAAAAAAAAAAGAGAGTAGAACTTTAAGTATTTGCTTATGCACATCAAATCTATAATTCAATGAAATTAAAAACCAGTAAATCCCCTTACTTTATACTGCCAAGCAATTAAAAAAAAAAAAAACTTAAAAAATGAAAAAAACGAAAACCCAAATTGAAAGGGATAAAAATTCATTCCAGATTGATCAAAATGAAAGATTGCATTACCCGTTCGGACATGCAAACATATACAGACATCAATACAGATTCCATTTTGACACACATAAAAAATCAAAACCCAGAACAGGAAAAAACAGAGAGATGCAATAATCGTACCAGGCTGTGGCGCTCGCCGGCTTGGAAGGAAAGCTTCTGCTGATTCATGGCCTGGGTATAAAGCTGAGACAAGGAGTTTGCGGCACTGCAAAATGAGGCGTACATGGTCCGATCCACCTCGTCCAGGCTCGTGGCTATCGACTTCCTCTTCTTCCCCATATTGGGTTCTGTAATTGTGCTTTTGATCGGAGGGCTTACGGCGATTGAATTGAAGATGCTATAGGCTTTTGGGTTGTTGTGGGGGAATGGAGAGTTGAAGAGTGGAGTTTTCTATTACTTGGAAAAGATGAAGGGTGCACTTAAGATCTAGTGCAGTCTATACTTTCTTTTTTTTTTTTTAATAAATTCAAAAGTTCGGATTCGAACCGTTATCTTATCTTGACGAAAGAAATGTATTTATACGTAACCTGTAGTGATTGAACCCAAAAGTTTAAGCACTAGTGCAGTCTAAACTTTACTCTTAAGAAAGCAAAACAATTTAATAAGTGCACTAAAAATAAAGTTGGAGGAGATAATTATTGTATTTTGTTATATGGATTAATATTAAAAAATATAAAAATTATTATTAACTTTATTATAAATACTTATTTTTATTATTTTTTAAATAATCATTTAAACAAAAATTAATTTATATTTTTTAATATTAATTAATATAAAAATACAATAATTATACTCTCCTTTTTTTGAGAAATACAATAATTATACTCTTTTATCTTATATTTTTTTGAAAATAGGTAATGGACTCTTTTATCTTATATTATTATAGAATTAGAACTTAATTTTAAAAAAAAAAAGGTTTAAACCACTTTTTTGTACGGTACTTTTCGGTTTTGCCTCGATGGGTTAAGCCCGAAATTTTTGTCTTAATCAATAATCAGTCCACATTTTGTGACAAAAAAATTTTAAAAAAAAATAAAAAGAGCCCATATTTCTGTTGGGCTTAGCCCCTCTGATCTCCTTTAAGTAGACCTCGTAAAATTGGATTCAATCCAAAAATTTGATTTAACCCATTTATTATGAGAAAAGTCATAGATCTTATGTGTTAATTCAAAATTTAAAATTACTCAAATTAAAATTATTCGAAGCCAAATAGGTTGAATCACGGGTGAGTAACTTGAAAATACCTGAACTTTTTTTTATTCATTTTTATTAGATTACTTAAAAATTAATGTTAAATTTTTAATTTCTTAATCATAAAAGTAAAAATAAATAAAACACTCAAACCCTAACCGCTCATCAATTCCACTTTCTCTCAACTTTTCCTGTTCTCCACTCTCGCTCTCCCCTTCTTCATCTCATCATCTCAAGCTCTCTAATCCTTCTCTTTGGTGGCACTTGTGTAAAAAATTAAATTAAGTGACATATAATGAGTTATGTCATATGACATCGTTAAAAAAGTTATTATTTTTAAATAAAAAAACAAAAATGCCTACTAAAAATCATAACTCAATGGTTGAGGTACCCCCATAATTATTAAAAGTACAAAGACAAAAATATCAAGAACATCAAGATCTATTCAAGCAGAATACCCAAATCCACCCCTAAAGTGTAGTGGTAGGGACGGATCCACCCTCGAACAAAAAACAAGGACAAATCCACCCATAAAGTTTTCGACTTGGACAAATCACCCCAAATTTAACGTGTGACGTCATTTGACATCAGCAATCTGTTAATTTGACATCATCTGACGTCAGCAATCCGTTAA